CCTCAATATTTGATAGGATTCTGTCAAGTTTTAAACGAGTGTAACAGATTTAAACAGCAAGAAAAGTAAGATCTTGCTATTAAAACAGGAGTAAATGTTAGTGTCATCTGCATAAATGCCTACTTGGAATTCATTTCAGCACTTTGTGACTAATATACAGACTAATATACTTTCGTACATCGTTCTAATAACCGGCAACATTTAAACTGAACGCTTCATTTATCAATGGGAGTAGAGTTTTCTCGTTCTATTATTACACGTCTTCTTCTTATTTAATATGCTTTGGTGTACCAGAATACAACAGCTGATCGACTAGCTGTTTTATTTCCGGTACACTTACCCGTTTTTAATCTGGTGTCGCTACTTACATTTATATCTTGCTCAGCCTATGAACTTACCAGGCGAACCTCGTATATTTTGAGAAAGGTCTTTCACAATTAGTAAGTAAAACGGGGATTACGCTCTAATTTTTATTTTGAAATTTTGTCCCTGGGTCTCTGTTGTGGCCTTGTTAGGGCCAGAAATAAAGACACAAGAGAGGAATTGAGTTAAACAAATATACTAACAGAAATAGTAATACAAACATATACAAAATATATTTGCTGTTAAGAAAATCGCGTATGGCGGATTTGAAATCGTCGATGTTTGACTGTGTCTTTTTTTTTAGCATTAAACCGAAATAGAATTTAATTGAGGAGAAAAAAAAAACGAAATAACTTTAATTTCTTGCTCACTCAGGGAATCACGAGTTCTTTTTTTTTTTCTCTGAGAGACATGAATTCTGGGAAAGTTCAGTGTAAGTTAGTTACACTTTTTTCCCAGTTCGGTTTCCTTTTCTGGATTACCAAGTACTGTTGAGTAGAACCAATATTGACAATTTCCACGTACTTTTTTGGGGGGTCGTCAAGGGTCTTTAAGTATCCCCGTCGCCAAGTTGTTGTGGCCTTGTTAGGACCAGAATAAAGACACAAAGAGAGGAATTGAGTTAAACAAATATATTAACAGAAAACAGTAAAACAAACATATACAAACGAGAGTGTTACAGAAAGAACGTTCAGTCCGAAGGTCAGAGATGACTGCTAGATATTTCCCTCTCCAAAAGGCAGTACCTGCTCCTATTTATAACTGGAAGAGTTCATGCGTGAGTGGGTAAATTACAATAACAGTCTCCTACCCTTGTAGATGATCTCCGCGATATCATTAGCCTAGACACTATGAACAGTTTTATTTTATATTTTTGAGTAATTCTCTATATTCGGACCAGGAGAATTAGTATATACTTCCATCGTGCATACAAACCAAACGAATCTGGACATACACCCACAGCGTTCAGAATTCCATCGTTGAGCGACAGCACCCTGGAGAAATCCTAAGTAAACCAAGAATACAGTGGCCCAAAGGTAACCAGAAGACTGTTTGGACTAATCTTGACAAAGAGCTTTCTTTTATCCTTAATAACAATCTTAAGGGTCACATAGGGCAAAAGATCAGTTCCTTTTGTAGAATAATATACGATGTTTGCTTTGAGTGATTTGAACTAGTAATCGAGAAGATAGAAAGATGAAAATCGACGACAAATTTAGAAAGGAAAGTTACGATCAAACATGCGCGCATCATCACGACCTAACATGCGCAGGTGAAATATTTACATAGCCGTTTATAACGATTTTTACGAGCGCGTCAATAACGGCAAACGCGTTCAGGAACTTTCATTACGGACAGAAGCTGCAAAGAGGAACAATCGTTTTATTTATTTCATTAAGAATTTGCAAAGAGGAACGATCAATTATTTTTTTTTTTTTTTTTTTATACCCTGCCTGGTGGCAAATGCTGCTGGTGGCGCCTGGGGTGGCAGTCCCGCCATAGCCACCGAAACCGTGAGATCACCCCTGGTCGGCGGCTGATGAAGTCAGAGTATCGCACGTGCTAACACACGTTGTATGTTAAAAAAAAAAAAATTGAGTAATTCTCTATATTCGGACCAGGAAAATTAGTATATACTTCCATCGTGCATACAAACCAAACGAGTTGACACTCCTCAACTAGACATTTGTAATATTTTGGCCGTCTTGTCCGAAGCAAGAGACTTGTAGTGAACCACCTGGTTTGAGAAGAGTCAATCAGTATTTGGTTCAGACATTGTCTGTAACATTGAGAAGAGTCATTTACATTAACTGTCAGAATTATAGCTGTTTCCATTTCGAGTTTGTTGTGCCACTGAGCTACTTTGGCAGGTCGTCGTTAATATAAGCCAGGTTAAATATGCAAAAATAAATCAGCAGTAAAGTAAAACGCGAGAGGTGTTGGAACTTGGTGAGGACCACCCTGTTGTTGATTATATTATCTATAACCCCTGCTGTGTTTGGGAATGCGTCTGACTCCGCCAAGAATTAGAGGGTCGGTCGAGATTCAACGCCGCGAGTGGATTCGGCAGGGTAAATTAAAAAAAAAAAAAAATGAAGAGAAAAAAAAGAAGTAAAGAAAAGATAGAAAGATAGTCTGTCTTATTTGGCGGGAAAAATGCTAAGCGGCGCGCGAAAGTGATAGAGCGAATTGCTTGTACCTATGGCGCCATCTATCACAAACAAATTCTAGATATGTTGTCCCTTTAGTGGCAATCTAGCACTTTTGATAAGACATTAAGGTGATAGCTCTTGATATCCCGTTATTGGCAGCTGACACGTCTTGTACGGGAAAAAGAACTTCGGATTCGGCCCATTTCCCGGCGCGCACACACTGATGCTGATGCATTGATAAATATAATGCTACCTTTTGGGATACGATTTTAGTTACTACTATAGATGCAAGGTGGAGTAATGAATAGCGGCGCGGATTGAGGAATCGGAGAGCTGAGTTCGAATTGCAGTCGAATCCATTTAATTAATTTACGTGCTAATACCCTTGGGAAAGGTATGAATCCTCTTCTTCTTCCCCCAGCTATGGGTAAATAGCAGAACAGACCGGGTTCTATAGCCTTGGATGGCAACTGATCTACCGCAGAAAGAAATGGCAACTTACCATGTTGTAGTAATATATATATATATATATATATATATATATATATATATATATATATATAATTTAATTGCAAAATTAAATTCAGGGTTTTTAGCTTCTATTTTTGAAACATGGTTGGAACTGTGTAGCGAAAAAAAAAACATATTTTAAATCAATTAATTTATAATATATATATATATATATATATATTTGTTGCCTCTCTTTTTTCTCGTAACTGTATCGTTTTTGTTATGAATATATGAGCAGGGGCTGCCCATATAATAATTTCCAGTTCTGATAGATTCCAAAAGCGTCTCCGCTACCTTGAAGGTAATGATTTATTTTCCGTCATAGAACTCCTTTCTTACCAGATGAAACGTAGCATACTTGCCGGGGCTCTGTCGCTATTTCCATGGAAAGCGTTCAGAAGAACTTCATTCCTTAGTTCCACCACTTCTAACATTCACGGTTAAGACCCGCTATGCCTTGTACATTACAGCGAACCACTATATTAACATCGTATTTCATTTGTTCCACTCGAGTAGTTTCTGCCCACGAACCGTTGCTTTGTGGAATCGACTTCGAAGAGGGTGTTTTCCCGATCACTATAATCTTAACCTGTCCAAGTCTAGAGTTAACCATTATCTTACACATATATCCCTATAAACTATGCCTCTTAATCTGTAGCCCTATAACCCGAGTGGTCCTTGGTCCTGCGGCCATTGTTACACTGTTGTAAAAATAAATTGTCTCTTGGTATTTGCATTTTTATCGCACTAATACATTTTGTATTCCTGCGAAAAGATTTAAAGAACAAAGAATGTGATATAATTGTACACAGTTATTGCCAGTTATTAGGTATTAATTTTCCTGCCCAGTGGTTGTAAATTAACGATAGTAAGTTCGCGACAAGAAAGCTACAAAAAAGAAAATAAAAATACATAAAAGAAATACTAGTCCAGAGCGTAAAAAACTTAGCGTGTATTTTGAAACCTATTGAAAATACAGTTGGGAAGAAACTAAATATATATTTATACATATATATATAGTTGCCGGAACAACAATTATATATATATATATATATATATATATATATATATATATATATATATATATATATATATATATATATATATATATCGATCCTCACAGGGTGCTCCATGTTTTACTCATTTTATTCGATTTTACGTCTGTCCGCCACAAAATATGTGAGTCGTAATATCACTAGAAAACCGTTAAAAAGAACATAAAATGATGTTACTGTACAATAAATAAGAATAAAAGTATATAAAATCATATTAAAATAAATACATTTACAGTAAATGTCAATATAATCATCATAAACCAGAGAGAACGGAATATGGAAACATCTGTGACTCTGTTTTCTTCTTATTTTGCGGTCTTTAAGAGTTCAATATTTGCGTTTTCGGCCGTAGTTCCACTAACTAGCGTTGTTGGTGACGCTACTCTTGATTCCCGCGAAATTGAAATCTTGTTTAGTTTAAACAAACGCACGGCATACGTCTGCTTATCGCCTACTCTCACATTTTCATTCATTTGTGACTTTATATTTTGCCCCAAAGGCTCCTAAGGAAATTTTTAGAGCAAGCGCTAAGCGTCATGCTATAACGCTGGACGATAAACTATGGAATAACGTCATGAAAAAGACGAAAAAGTTATATCGATTGCTCAAACTTTTGGAATGAGACGGACAACTGTATCGACGATTGTTCACAATAAGCATAAGGTTTTGGCAAATACCAAATGTGATGCCCCAGGTGTAAAGATTACTGTCGCTAATAAGAAAAGAGGAAAAATCTTTGAAGAGACAGAACAACTTCTTTCTCTTTTGATTGATAGGTTGAATCATCAGCGTACTACTATTAGTCAAGAAATCAAGTGTTGTCTTTGTTTGAGGACCTGAACAAAAAATACACAGATTAGAAAGATGTAGAGTTTAAAGCGAGTCAAGGGTATTTTATAATATTTAAAGAAAGAAGAAGTTAGCACTTTATGAAGAAACAAGGTGAAAGTGCATCAGCTGACGAATAAGAAGCAGCCGATTTTCCTAAAGAATTGGCAAAGGTCATCGAAGAAAACGGGCTTCTTCCTGAACAGAGTTTTAACGCTGACGACATTGGATTATATTGGAAAAAATTGCCACACCATTCTTTCATTTCTAACGCTAAGCGTAAGACTATGTCGCTGAAAAATTATTTTTTTCAGAATACTGTACGTACATATCATAAAAACTATAATATGCAATGGGGAGTGCTTATTTGCGGCTTATAGTGTGATTATTTCGACTTAAGTTGTTTTTCGACCTAAGTCGTGACCTCTGGAACGACGTAGGATGATATATATATATATATATATATATATATATATATATATATATATATATATATATATAACGTCATTCACAGACAGACTGTTTCGCTGTTTCACAGCTCATCAGTGCGGCTAGACATCCGGTTGCCTCTAGCTAGGATCGAAACCCGACTGACTTGGTGTCAGTCGGAGATTCTAACCATTAAGCCGCACGGTAGGGATGAAGGTGGATTTTTAGCGTATTTATTTTTAGAAACACGCCCAGTGACCGACAGTGACTCAATTCGCTTTTGCGAAGAGTCTCGCTATATAGCTACAAATAGTCACTGTTTACCAACCCACACCTCCTCCCCAGAGAGCACAACTGAAATTAATTTTTCAGGAGCCAATATAACGTCATCCACAGACAGACTGTTTCGCTGTTTCACAGCTCATCAGTGCGGCTAGACATCCGGTTGCCTCTAGCTAGGATATATATATATATATATATATATATATATATATTATGAAAAACTAGGTAATCCGTATGGGTAAACCTAAGGAGGATAAAGTCCAGATAGCTCAATGTAAATCCAGAGCAAATAATTTAAATAAAAACAGACCACTTTAAGGTTCTATGTAATGAATTATTTCACCATAGCCCTTTTAAAAGGACTGCGGATCATCAGACTTTACTTTTCTTATATATATATATATATATATATATATATATATATATATATATATATATATATATGAGAGAGAGACAGGCATAGATAGATAGATAGATAGATAGATAGATAGTAAGTAATACATTCACATTGATGTAGAATGTCTTTGTTGCATGTAATGATGTAACAGCACTTTGACTTGAGTAGCTGAAATCAATTGTTAAAATTAAGATTTGGTGAATGGAAAACGCGAAGGGGAAAAAAGAATGCGGCGCCAGTAAGCCGAGAGGGAAGCAAACGAAGGATACTGGACAGAAGTCGGATGAGAAGCAACATTGTACAAATAGGAAGATTTTGATTAGGGGGAAAAGGGATAGAATCTGGTTAAAAACACGAAAAAAATCCTAACAGATGCGAGAGAAAATAGCAAAGAAAGCGATTTATAGATGCGAAAAATCGATATCGGAAAGAAATGGCGGAAACCTAACGACAGAAGCAATAGAATAAGAGAGATAAATAAATAAGCAGAAGAATACACCTTCTCGTCATTTTGGGTGACAAATTATTTTCCACCCTGCAACCTCTCTCTCACAGACATGATATAGCAAAGCTTGCCACATCCGGTCTGTGAGAGAATCAAAAAGATAGACAATAGCCCCGCTTTGTTCTTGTGTAAAAAATAAAGCCTGTTTTGCTCTCGAGTTAAAGAACGTTAAAATAGGTACGATTTTAACTAGACTAAAAAGGGTAAACATAAGTTTGCTTTTCACTAGATTATAAAAAGGAGACATAGGCCTGGTTTAAACTCGAGTTAAAAGGTAGACATAAGTGCGGTTTGTAGTAAAGTATAAAAGGTCGACATGGTTTGCACTCGTCAAAAAGTTTAACACGGATCCGGCTTACAATAGAGATAAAAAGATAGACAGCGATCCGATTTATACTAAATTCAAAGAGATACATAGGACAAAAAAAGGTAGATACGGGTCCAGTTTACACGAGAATCCACAACTTACACTCATCTCTGGTTTTCACTGGAGTCAAAAAGATAGACACAGGCCCGGTTTGCACAAGGATAAGAGGTAGTTCCGAGTTGAATTCGAGTTAGAAACGTAGATCTACGTCTGGTTTGCAAAAGAGTAAAAAATATAGCCAAAGGTAAGATTTACATGGCTAACAAATAGTTAGAACGTTCGCTTTCTGACCAAGAGACCCGGGTTCGAATCTCACCACGGTTGATTTATCAGGAAGAAAACTTACTGATGTTATCGGTTAGGAAGGGGCTATCCCAGCGTACGGAACATTTGGAAAGTGACTGACACCATACTTGTGAGTGAAATTGGGTAGATATTACTACTGGTGTCTGATAGCTGTGCTAGCACGAAGTCCCAAGTCATCGTGACCGAGGGTTTGAGCGTGCTGGTTCAGATTGTTGATCACGCTAGATAACACGCGCTTTCCCAGAAACTATAACTAAGGTCTGCTCGGCATAGTTGCAGTATAAACCACAAGTGGGCTCTGTGGGTGTTGAACAAATATAAATGTGTCTGAGCAAGCGTCTGCAATAGGGATTGCTCGAATACAGTGGCTATATATATATATATATATATATATATATATATATATATATAAAAGTGAACATAGAAGTCAACACTCTAAGTGTTGACTTCTATGTTCACTTTTATATTTACACACGCTCTATCTCTGATATTGAGGACTTTATCCCATAAATATAGCACACCTTAAGACTATATATATATATATATATATATATATATATATATATATATATATATATATATATATATATATATATATATAAGCGTTTCACCCCAAGCAAGGCGGAAAGCCACTAGGACGCAAGGGATTACAGAACATTTGGAGCAAGGTCAAATAGGGTGATAGAAGAATGGATGAGTAGAAGAGTAGTGAATAGATCAACGCAACTGGAGATACAGAGGCCAGTGAGAGAGACACAGAGAGAGAGAGAGAGAGTACCGGAAACCCCTTCCTAAACAAGAAACAAAGGCGTAAGCCTCTACTCTTGTCCAAGAGAAGTGGGTGGAGTGTGGACCAGGCAGTAGGAAAGCCTACCTACTCCTATATATATATATATATATATATATATATATATATATATATATATATATATATATATATATATATAGAGAGAGAGAGAGAGAGAGAGAGACAGTGTATGCAGTCGGTGTATTCTAAGTCCGCCGGGTAAACAAAATAGGAAGCAAATAGGTCTGTGATCGAAGGTGTTACGTAACAATCTTTTTATATAACATCTTCAGTAATAAACTTATTTACACTACTCTTTCTGTTTTCATCATTGTCTTTGTTGCATTTTATTTGTGACGTAATCTGGACATAGTATAAATAAAAACTATAAAGGAAGTTATAGAATGAAAGGTTCTTTTTTTTTCTTATATGAGGTTAGTTCTTTGTCTTCGCTAATGGAACGGTCTATTGGACTGCCTTCTCCTAATCAGATAACGGATTAGACTGTAGAGGTCAATCGCTGCCCCCGCTTCTATCACCACCGGAGAAGAAGTCCGTCAATACGCTACAGCTGAGTAGTTTGAATCTCTGTTCCAAAAAATTGATGAAAAAAAAAAGAAAAAGTAAAAGATAGAATTTAAAAGTAGGACAGAAACTCTGACAGACACAACTCATAGATATGATTACGCGAAGAACATCTGAAATGAGAAACGAAGTTTCTTGTTTACACACTTTTAGTTGTGAGTTGATGATAATTCCGTAGTAATTGTTCTGTAAATCCGAAAACGCAGTCGCACACAAAAATGTCCCCACCCACTCCAACACAGTCACATTTCCACAGATACATACAGCCTGAAATAATTGAAGTTGTACTCGAACATACTTACGGTTTCAGAAAAATCAATATTACGGACACAATTCACAAACAATTTTTGCGATGTCAACGAAACCACGTTGACACTTTTGTGATGTCAACGAATACATCGTTGTTACTTTTGCAATGTTCGTTGTAGTAGAGACTTTGTAATCGCAGATAAAACTATAGTAACGCCGTTGAACAATACTGGTGTCAAACGCCTTCGAATATCACTAGCACTAATAGTACTTGCTCGATAATACTCGCTTGAACAGTAATCCGTATAGTGATAGAGGAAAAAAAGCGATCCGAATAGTAACAGAGGATAGAATAGAAATGGCGATTAATCTAGACGTCACGAGGCTTCCTATATATGCATTTCCTCTGTGGTCACGTGGTCTACTTAATTCAATAATAGGATCGCCTGCGTTTGTTCAGACTCAAGCGTCGGCAGCGACACTTTATTTCTATATAACACATTTCTAAGGAAAACATTGTCTAAAATGTTTCAAGAAAACCAAAATATTAACCGGAAAACTCTAGTAATTTTCTTAAATAGTTTCTTAATTAATAGGTGTAAATCGGTGTGCTTATCGCTCGGTTCACAGCCCTCCTCGCTCTTTAATCTCTTCTTTCCTATTTAGGATTGACTTTCTAGTTCTTTTTAAAGCATTTTCTTTATCTTTCATTTTGAGCCTTAGTGGCGTTATCTCCTTGCTTGGTTGTGAAATAATTAAACAAAATATTAACACTATTTACATCATACGGACTGTTGGCCTTACGTTTATTGTTATATCTGCGACGTTTCGGCCGTGATATGCTCCGTCCTTCTTCAAGTGAAATATTCCAATGTATATCATCTGAAGAAGGCTGGAGCGTACAACGGCCGAAACGTCGTGAATATTGCAATAAAAAGAAACATACGAGAAATAATGATAACAGTGGACAAGGGAAAACTATTTTCCTGAAAATCAGTTTTACGACAAAGATTTTAATTCCATCTTTGTTTTCTCATGATTTGCAACAAGATAGTATCTTCTTGTAGTTTCATTAAATACAAAAATTTAAAGAATGCTCTATTCAGCTTGCCTGTGGATGACGATAAACTACATCCGGCATCAACGCTTCTAATCGGGAAATTGGAGGTTTTGAGGCGCGTTCCCAGGTCCACCCTGACCCTGGTTGTAGCAACTGTTAGGTTCCCAGCTATGGGCAAATATTGAACCCCTAAATAAAAATTAACTGTACCTTTATATAATAAAATCAGCAACAAAATATTTTTATGACAAAATGAAAATCAATGTAACACTATATATATATATATATATATATATATATATATATATATATATATATATATATATTAAAATACATTTTTATAGTAAAATTGCTAACAATACATCTTATAATCTACAAGCTATATATCTAAAAATATAAATTTACACTAACAGTATAAAATTATGTGCAAAATATATGTAGTTCAAAGCCTAAAATTACGTACAAAATATTTAGATTTCGGCATTAAATCACACATAGAGATTGATATGCTGCTAAGCAAAATCAACTAATCAACAATACCTATTTATATTAAAATTACCAACAATATATATTTAAAACAAAATGACCATCCATACGTTTTATCTGTAGGTGAAGGCATACAATTGTGTTCAAAATATGTAAATTTCGACATTAAATAACCCATAGAGGTATTGATATTCCGATAAAGAAACTCAACCAACCAACTCGAAATTTAAGCAAACCAAAGTATTTCATTATCATTTCTTTTATATAAATACTAAACAACTAAATACTGACCAAAGAACTCGAGTCCTTTTCTTTAAAAAAGCCTCGTCATCATGGCGTCTAACATTTCCAGAGATATTTAAAGTATCAACTGCAAACAAATGTTTTTTCGGGTCAATGAGATCATTTCGCCCTAAGCAAGGAGATAACGCCACTAAGACTCAAAATGAAAGATAATACTTTAAAAGAACTGGAAAGTCAATCCTAAACAGGAAAGAAGAGATTAAAGAGCAAGGAGGACTGTGAAACGAGCAATAAGCGCACCAATCTACACCTATTAAATAAGAAACTATTTATGAAAATTACTAAAGTTTTCAGGTTAATATTTTAGTTTTCATGAATCATGTTAGACATTTTTTTCTTAGAAATGTGTTATATAGAAAGTGGTTTCAAACGAATGAGTCCTCAGGGTCATGAAGAAGACTATCCTAAATCGGATCTTTTGACCTGGCGCTACAGACTCACAAGCAGATAACTTATTCAAATTACAAAAACGACATCAGTTGAAGATTTACAACAGCAGCAACAATTAAAATAGGTAGAACATGTGACTGCAAGCGGCAATAGTGACATAATCAAAATGTTGACTTTCCACACTACCTTAAACAAAAGGTTAGGAAGGAAACTCCTATTAATTCTACAATGCGCGATAAGCGGTGCTCTTCATATTTTTAATTTCCTGAAAAACTGCTTTACGAAAAATATTTAATCAATCGT